GATGATAGAATCTTTTTTTTTCCAACTTAGTAATACCAGTCTCTTATGGGTGACGTTTGCCATTCATGTACCTCAGTTTAGGGTAGTTTAGGCTGGTGTTGGCTGCTGCCTATCATTGATCAGGTGGTATAGGAGCTGGTATTGGCTCTTACACAGTGGGTGGGGCTGCAGAGGGTACAGTTGTGGCTGGGCTGTGTGGGCACGGTTGCTGTCTCCTGTCAGGTAGGTAAGAGAAAGTCCTTCCCCCTGACATACGCAAGAAAACTAAACAGAATAAACAAACAAGGAACCCACAATGAAAAGAGAAAAAATAAAGTAAAATAGGCAGTAATCAGAATATAATAACTATATATAAAGACAAATGACAGGCAGGGAAAAGGTGCTATTAAAGAGAAAAATAAGAAGGAAAATAAAAGGAAGCAATTTAAAAAAACCAAAAACACTGAAGAATAACTTAAAAAAGAAAATAGGCTTAGGAAAATGGAGCTACAGAGGAGAAAAATAAGAGAGGAAATGAAAGGAAGAAATAAAAATTTAAAAACACTTAGAAAAACCAAGAGCTAGAAGATGAAGAGAGAGTAGTAAAGAAAGATCAAAAGAGGAGGGAAAGAGAGGGGAAATGAGAAACAGAAGAAAAGAAAGAAAAACAAAAGCAGAGCCAGCAAAGATCAAATTCAGGGCAATAGAAAGAGGAAAAAGAGCAACCAAACAAAAACAATGAAACAACAAAAGGAAAAGAGCAAAACCAAAACAAACCCAAACCCTAAAAATATGCAATTGTTGGACCTGGAAAGGAGAAAGCTCTTTGGTGCTCCTGCAAGGTAAGGAGTTCCAGAGGTAAGTGTGGGAGGGATGTGACAGTAGAGTTCCTGGCTCTAGATGAGTCCTATTGGCCGCGGGGCACTCAATCTTGAAGTAATTCAGGAGGGTTTAAGATTACAGTCTTGAGGAACATCTAGGTCAACTGGCATAACATAGTCTACAAAGATTATGGTCTACATTCTACTTTAGTGACTAGTAACTAGGGTCTTAAAAGGTTGTGAATTGCCATCTAAGATGCAACTGTTTGTCTCTCCATGTCTTTGTTGTTGTTGTTATGTGCCGTGGAGTTGGTTCTGACTCATAGTGCCCCTGCACAGGGTTTCCGAGGCTGTAAGTCTTTATGGGAACAGAAAGCCTCATCTTTCTCCCATGGAACAACTGGTAGTTTCGAACTGCTGACCCTGAGGTTAGCAGCCCGATTTGTAACCACTAGGCTCCCAGAGCTCCTTGTCTGGAGCAAAGAAAATCAAAGACTCCAGGAAATAATGGTCCAAAATACTAACAGATAACTTAAACCTACCATTATTTGAGATAAAAAGGCAGTATGTACCCCAAAACAAATCTTAGAAGGCAGGAAAGAAGAATGACAAATGGAAACAGGGGACCCAGGGAGAAATTGGAAAAAGTGCTGCTACAATGAGAAAATTGCAACCAATGTCATGAAAAAAAAAAAAAAAAAGCATAAATGTTGTAATGGAAATTAATTTTAACTAAAAAAAAAATTAAATAATTCCAGTTACAAGATTTTGGCTATTATTGAAATTTTCTTGATTGAAAGATGAGGAGAATGAGGCTAAAGAGATGAGGTGAATGACCAAGAAAGTAGGCCACGGTGTTTAGAAGAGACATAGTGTCTCCTGTGTCCTCGACCCATACTTGCTTTGCAGCATTGCAGCACACTGAGAGATTAGTGTGGCTTTTCCCCTAGTGCCTCTTCTGGACAAGGAGATACTTTTTTTTTAATGCTTTATTGTGACTTATGTGATAGTTTACATGAGAGAACAATAGCTTTACATTCATCCTATCGAATATAATTTCATTGCCATGTTTACAATCCTCTCCATGCATCATCAACCAACCAAAGGGTATACCCTGAAAGCCTGCCCCCCAGTCATCAGCACACAGCCCCTCTCCCTCTCTGGGTCTAAAGTCTCCAGCCATTCCATCTCTCCATGTCATCATCTCTGCCTCCATCTCTGGCATCACTGCTTCACTGGGTAGGGTCCTGTTCTCCGCTCTTCTCCCTTGATGGTCCCAGGGACCTCCGCTCTAGACTGCAAAGTCAATCACACCCCTTAGTTTTCCACAAAACATCTGCCTTTACATTTCCATCCCTCACAATCAGTCCTGATAGCAATTGTTCACTATTGTATCACAAGAGACCTATATGCATCTTCCTTCATCAACCCCCACCCAGAAAAATTGGATTAGTATCTCAGTGGAGAGTCTACCTTCCTCTGCTCCCTCTGGATCTGGGTTCCCTCTTGAAAGCTTGTAAGCCAGTCACTTCTTGCCTTTGTAACCTCCCCCATTTTGAGTAGCCAATGTCCAAATTGCCCATCCCTGTCTACCCTGTGTATGGAGGGGGTAGGAATGATCTTCACTGTAAAGATTTGTTCCCTCTTTTGAGCTACTGCATCCATAGGTGTAGGTCAAGTTCATTAAATTGTATCAGATTACTCTTTTTTCCCTCTTCTTTCTCCTTCTATTTGAACTCTGATCATCCAGTCATTGAAGCCAGGTCAAATGGGTATTATCTGCAAATGTGGGTGTTCCTATGCACATGCCCTCTCTTCTTATCAGCTGGATGCTTCACTCTCCACTCTAGTCCTCTGTGGCTATGTCACTGACCCAAGGCCCAAGAGTACTGAGGTCTTGACACACTGCTGGCCAACCAGGTCTCCACCCAGGTTCACAGGACTCTATTGAACGTACTAGATACATTTTTAATCAGCTGTTTTAGATAGACTGAAATGTCCACAGCCAGTCAGGTTGGGGAAGGTACTGAGGGTTCTAAGTAGAGGAGAAAGGAGTGTAGAGTGAACACTCAAGTGTGAGGTAGCATCACTGTCAAGAGTAGCATTCAATCACCTCTGTACCCCCCAGGGTCTCTGTGCGTAGCCTTGTCATTTCCGTGGTGTGTGGAATCCTAAGTAAGAGTCTGGTCTTCATTGTCCTGCTTATTGTCACACAGGGGTCCACAGACCAATAAGAAGGACTTCTGACCTCCATGAACATATAGCTGGCAGTTGTGCCGGAAGAGATGTATGTGTAAATTGGTGCTGTGGATGAAAGGGGAGATGAGGACATAAATAAAACCTATAATTACAGGTTATTTCTAGGACTCAGGATCTTACCTCCATTTTCCTGCCTTGTCCCCTAATTTCACTGCAACTTTGGAGATGTGCTCTGCTTTCTCCAAAGAGACAGCTCTTCTGAACCATGCCCTGGTCTTTCATTCCAACAGTAGCTCTGTGTTTGCACTAATTCAAAACAGAGACCAATGCTGTTTTGTGGGGACCTTGAAGTACAGCGGGCACAGTTGATACACAGGGACCATGACATCTGGACCTGACATGGTCATGTTGGCACTGCAGAAGCATCCTGCACGCCTGGCACTTGAGCCTTCCTTTTTTCTAGAATCAGGCATTTGAGTCCCTCCCTTCTCTGTGGCCTTCTTGGAATGGACCTTCTAGAAATGGGTGTGGTAAGTCATGGAATAAGGTGAAGTGTGTTGACATTTATAAGACACTGTGGATAAAAGGAAAGGAGCTCTGGTAGCGTAGTGGTTACAAATCGGGTTGTGAACCACAAGGTCAGCAGTTCGAAACCATCAGCAGTTCTGCGGGAGAAAGATGAGGCTTTCTGCTACCGTAAAGATTTACAGCCTCGGAAACCCTGTACAGGGTCGCTATGAATCGGAACCAACTCCACAGCACATAACAACAACAACATGGATAGAAACAAATAAATAAACAAGCCGTGTAACAGAGCTAACCTGAATGTGCCAAAAAAATCAGTCACCAATAACCCTGTAGAGAACAGTTCTACTCTGACACACATAGAGTCACCATGATTCAGAATTGATTTAATGGCAACTGAGCTTTAAGGAGTCCCTGAGTGGTCCATGGGAAGGTTGGCAGTGGAATCTACCTAGAGGCACCTGGTTGCAAATCAGGCTGTGAGCCTCAAGTTCAACAGTTCGAAACTACCAGCTGTTCTGAAGGAGAAAGATGAGGCTTTCTAATCCCGTAAAGATGTACAGCCTCAGAAACTCTGTACAGGGTCACTGTGAGTTGGAACCGACTCCATGGCACATAAGCACCACCAATTCTGGAAAAAGCATCCATTAAAGACTCTATGGAGTGCATCTCTGCTCTGACACACACTGGATCATTTGGAATTGACTTTGTTGCTGTTGTTTGCAAAAATACTACAGGATGAGATTGGCGGATCTATAGCATAGGGTCAAGATATAATATCCAACATGACTCCATTTATTTTATCACCTGGTCCTTAAAATAATACCATGAAAACAGAGGAGAATGTGATTAGACCAAAACAGTTAACAAGTCACTAGGATCTAAAACTAGAGAATTCCTTTTCTGAAGACTAAGTATCCCAAATCCATATAGAATAGGAGAAGCAGTTCTGTCCATGTCTACATGCCTATCTTCTTTGGAGCACACAAAGGGCACAGATATAGGTGACAAGGTCTCACTATTTAGGGTCCTGAAGGCTGTCCCATGTGTACTCCTAATTTCCCACTCCAGCTTCCTGCTCCTCTCAAAATATTACTCAAAAACATCCTTTCCAGTTCCTTCAAGATAGGAGTCCAAGTCTATCTGGGTTTTATAAATGTCAATAGACTTCTATCAGGATTTTTCACTGCATAGTTCTCTTCTTATTCTAAAGGGAAAGGGCCTCATATTGAGGAAAGGATGATAGAAATTTTTTTTTTTCAACTTAGCAATACCAGTTGTCCTTGAGTATATTCTGACTCATGGTAACCCATTGTACAACATTATGACTGTGCTCCAACCCTTTGGTTAGCAACTGAGCTCCTTAACCCTGTGCAGCACTCATGGATTCCATTGGAGCGATAGCCAAGGCCAATGTCTTCTAAATTTCCATTAGCAAAGATACAATGTCTCTGTGTGAATCATCCCCAGATGCACCTTGCGTCACATTCTCAGGAGCTACAATCACGGACAGAATCACGTATTTGGCCAAGCTTACGTCAAACCACATGTCTGCATCATCATTACCCGAAGAAGGGGAGGAGAAATAGCTGTCTCCATCCTCAATAAAAAGGGAAGTGGGCTCTGAATCAAATGAAAACAGACACACTGGGTCAAGCACCCAACATGCAAACGGTGTTTGCTAACAGAGACCCAAATATGAAAAACATACCAAAAACAACCTCCCAAATTGGGTCAGATTAAATGAGATCACTCATGTCAGGAAGCTGGACCACAGTAGGTAGAGACTACCATTATTATTATAATTGTCTTGGTCTCCATGCCTACAACTGGACTGGGTGAATCAGGGAAGCACACACCCAGAATACAGGAGCAATACTTGAAAAATAACTCAGGACTCATTTCGCCTAACCAGAACTTTTGCAGGAAGGGGTTACTGTGGTCACTTGTCTCATAATCCCCTAGGTTGCCAGTAAAAATGTAGATTCCTGAGCCACTCCCAGATCTACCAAATCAGAATGTCTGGGGGAGTGGAATCTGGTCACATGTATACCTGGGTACTTCAAAAAGCTTGTAGAAAAGTGGAATTAAAAGCAAAAAATTTTTCCGGGAACTTTTTGAAGTACTCTCATATTTACCAATCTTCCAGAGAAAATAGGCTGCATGCCAGTGTTTGAGAACCACTAGTGCAGAAGAAAACTAAAGAAGGCAACTTTGTTGGAAGGCAAAACACACAAGCATCATCCTAGATGGAGGAAGAAATGGAGGGATGGACTGGTAAGTGACCAGGGATGGCACTGCCTGGGTGACCTGAACGGGAATTGGACCAAAGATGGGAGATCAGGTATGCGGGCATGAAAGGTCCATCCAAGGATGTTAGCCTAATGATAATGAGGAATGGGCAGCCAGTGAGTGTTTCCCAATAGGACTGTGATGTAAGGAAGACAGGAAGGATGGTTTCACAAGAGCAGTACTCTCTTCTTTGCCTTTTGCATTTCCCTAAGCTACTCCCTCTCACCACATTTCCCTCAGGGGTTCACAGCTGCAAAGTAACAGTGAAGACACTCTGGGAAGACAGTAGACATCTGTGAGGGACCACATCCTCTAAGAGCTCAGAGAGACCCTAGGATGGGCAGCAGCCAGAAGGTCCAGGAGCAGGATAGAATGGAGGGGACAAAACTCTGGAGGTGGCCACATCTGCTGCTGCTCTTGCTACTGCTCTATGTCTCAGGTAAGGAGACACAGGAAGACTGGTGGAGAAGTCACCAGGCAAAAGGAGGGACAGACAAGGGGAATTTGTTGCCATGAAGTCTGTTCCAATTCATGGTGATCCCATGTGTCTCACAGTAGAACTGCAATCCATAGGATTTTTTACAGTTTTGACTTTTCACAATCAGATCACCAGGACTTTCTTCTGAGGTATCTCTGTGTGGGTTTGAATTGTCAGCCTTTCAGTTAGTAGCACAAGGGCTTCACCATTTGTGTCACCCAGGAACTCCCACACAAGGGGAATCTTCTCTCATGACTTCAGGATGACCTGGGTGGGACTAGGGTATGTGTTAGAGAAAGGGATGGGAAGAGGTACTGAATGCAGACTGCGATACAGCAGAGAGTGGGTAATGAACTAGAAGCTAGGAGTCCCATGGTACATCTTGACGATGAGAAAATCATGTAGGGTTATCCAAGCAAACCCCCATCCCTGTGCTGATATCCTAGGAGATGTAAAGAAGAGTCAGATTGTTCCCCCTAAAGGAGCAGAACAGGCAACGGTAACAGACAAGATAAATAACATGAGAAATAGCAACACTGATAGAAGTCACCATGGTGGGGCACAGAGAGGAATGAGGAGTGGAGGTTTAGGGTTCAGGAATCAGACAGAACTGGATTCAAATCTGCTGCATGTACGTCCTTGAGAAGCTCCTCTCACCCCTCTGAGCTTCTCTGTTCTATCATTTCTGAAGCATATTGATATAAAATTGTTGGCTCAGTATCTAGAACATAGTAAGTGCTTAGTAAAAGTCAATGGTGGATGGTGATGGTGGTGACAGTTGTGATGACTGTGACAATGATGTACCTGGGTATTGAGTGGTCAGTGGCATTGTGCGGGGGAGAACAGGAAGAGGTTGGTACCCACTGGAACTCTTCTGATGACTCCTTTCTGGGACTGGGTGGGATGAGAATGAGTGGACAGAGTGGGGAGAACATTTGACTTGGGGACATCAGGAGTTTTGCTCCAGAAAGCAATTGGCTTCCATGGGAACCATGAGTTGAGTAGAAAAATAGACACTAAAATGTGTGGAGTTTTGGGCAACTTGGACATTGGCTACCCAAAATGGGAGAGTTACAAAGGCAAGAAGTGACTGGCTTACAAGCTTTTCAAGAGGGAGCCTAGATCCAGAGGGAGCAGAGGAAGGTAGCATCTCCACTGAGTAGTATCCAATTTTTCCGGGTGGGGCTAATGAAAGGAGATGGGGGTAGGTCTCTTGTGGTACAATAGTGAATAATTGTTATCAGGACTGACTGTGAGGGTTGGAAATGTAAAGGTAGACTTTTTTGGCAAAAGGAGGAGTGTGGTTGACTTTGCAGTCTGGGAGCCGAGGTCACTGGGACCATCAGGGGGAGAAGAGCGGAGTACAGAACCCTACCCAGAGAAGCAGTGATGCCAGAGATGGGGGTAGAGATGATGACATGGAGAGAAGGAGTGGCAGGGGTTTTTGGAACTGGAGAGACAGAGGGGCTGCGTGCTGACGACCGGGGGTCAGGCTTGCAGGGTTTACCCTTTGGTTGGTTGATGATGTATGGAGGGAATTGTAACCATGGTAATGAAACAATATACGATTGGATGAATATAAGGTTAATGTTCTCCCATGTAAACTATCACATAATTCACAATAAGACACTTTAAAAAAATTAGGGAGTTTTGAAAAAATTTTGTATTGCATAAACACTTTCCAACTTACAATAATATAGAAAGAAAGCTGTTGTTGGTAATTTCCATCAAGTCTATTTCAACTCATAGTGACCCTATATAGGGTTTCTGAGAAGCAGCTGGTGGGTTTGAACCACTCACTTTGCAGTTAGCAAAGTCCAGTACTTATCCTACAATGTCATGCCAGGACTCCTAGCTACTATAAATTCATCATCCAATTTTTTTTTTATGCAAGTCTATTTTTCTTTGTAAAAATAATATACAACTAAAGCTAATTTGATCCTTTAAAATCAAAGTCCATTTAGTGACAACATATGTTTTGTAATAAAATTGAAGTAAAATACAGGCATTTGATAGTTTAAACAAAGCATATCAGTCATGTAAAAATCATATTGTAGCATTAAAGTTTAATTAGAAAATTCATAGTTCACAAAAGTGTATATATTTTGTTGACATCTCCTAGAACATAAATTTACTTATGACACAGAACAAAATTCATAATCAGATATGACATTTAGTACTATGAAATGTTTGCTGAATCCACTGATCGTTTTGTTAATAAGGTGCACTTGAAATAACCCGTTCAGATCACCAATGAATTGGTGGTGTATCATATAACCAAGATCTTTTAGTTTTACAATATGTCTAAAAATTGTTGTTGTTGTTAAGTGCTGTCGAGTCAGTTCCGACCCATAGAGACAGTGATTTAGTTGGAAACACCATCATAATTGAGATTTAAACAAGATTAATATTTTACCTCATTTGTTTCATGTGTGTTTGTAATACCTTGTATGGTGTTGTTGTTAAGTGCTGTCAAGTTGGTTCCAACCCATAGTGACCCTGTATAGGGTTTCCAAGGAGTGACTGGTGAGCTTAAACTGCTGACTGTGCAGATCAAATAGACTTTGCGGTACAATGCATTAGCCCACAGCACCACACCAGGACTCCATACTTAATATTGCTGCTGTTAATTGCCGTTGAGTTGGTCCCAACCTACAGCGACCCTGTATAGGGTTTCCAAAGAGTGGCTGGTGAACTTGAAACGCCGACCTCGCAGTTCAAACCAACTTTGCAGTCCTGCATATTAACCCACCGCGCCATATCAGGACTCTGTACTTTGAATACACATATATAATTATTTTTGAATCATTATGTTTTGAATCATTTCAAAATAATCATGTATCATCTCAAAGTAATTATATGTGTATACAAAGTACACATATATAATTATTTTTGAATCATTATGTTTTGAATCATTTCAAAATAATCATGTATCATCTCAAAGTAATTATATGTGTATACAAAGTACACATATATAATTATTTTGAAATGACTTAAAATATGAGTCAAGTGAGTAGAGGCAGGCAGGCCAGGGGAGAGGGAACAGGAAGAAGGATGTAGACATTCCTTTCAAAATAATTTAAGAAATCCTAGCTTTCTCCTAGATGTTTGATGATGCTATTATTCCACTAGCCTATGGTCTTGTGGCTGCTGTGATGACTGAGGCTGGAGGTGCAGAGGTGATCACTGACTCCACCTTGATTCCTCATTCTAGGGTCCCACGCAATAAACATAAGGGAGGAGCAAGAGTGCCTGATAGAAGGAGAAAACCTGACTGTGACCTGTCCTTACAATATCATGAAATATGCCTCCAGCCCGAAGGCCTGGCAGCGGGTGAGAAGTCAGGGTCTCCCTGAGACGCTGCTGCAAGTGGAAACCAGAAACATAGAGGTAAAACGAGTCCAGGCAGGAAGGTACCTGCTGGAGGATATTCCCTATGAAGCCGTCATGAAGGTCACAGTGACAGGACTCCAGAGGCAGGACGAGGGGTTATACCAGTGTGTGATCAGCAGCCCTCCTCAGGACCTTATTCTGCATGTTCGAATTCGTCTGGTTCACTGCAGTGGTGAGCAGCAGGGGACCCTGTCCTGGGAAAGGGTTTACTGAGTCTGAGCTTTGACCATGGGGGACTTCCTTACTTCTGTCTGTCTGTCTGTCTGTGACCCCTGCTGACCTCAAGCTATTTATTTGATCCTAGTAAAAGAAACCCCTGCCTGTCTTCCAACGCACCTCTAGGTGTGTTCATAACCCTCCTAATTCTACCTATTGATGTGGTGCTGTTGGATAAGCACCAAACTGCTAACCACAAGGTTGGTAGTTTAAATCCACCAGTCAGTCGCTCCTTGGAAACACTGTGCACGGTTGCTGTGAGTTGGAACCGACTCAATGGCACTTAATAACAGTGACCATCCAGTCAGGCATCAGTCTTTCTGTCCACCTATTCATTTATCCATCCATCCAGCCCCCAACCAAACATTATTCACCCATCTACTAAACTCCCAGAAACGTACTCACCAACCCCACTCATTCATGCGTTCACATATCCATCCATTCATCATGTTCTTTGACTATCTACAAAATGCCAGACACTGTCACTCATGTGTGGATTATAGTATCACCAAAACCAAGGCTCTTCCCTTATAGAGTTTAGAATCTAGTGACTAGTCCTTCTGGACTGGGAGTAAGATGTCAGCAGGTCATATTACTCTTATTACTACATATTACAGCAAGAAATATCCTTGCTGGTGTTCCAGTTATTGTTGTTGATGTAGTTAAGTGCTGTGAAGTCAGTTCTGACTCATAGTGACCCTGGGTAGGGTTTCCTAGAAGCGACTGATGAGTTTGAACCACCATCCTTGTAGTTCAGTGCTTTATTCCCCAGTGTCACACCAGGACTTGCATTTCTAGTAGAACACTGCCAGCTGCTTCCTCTTCCAGTGATGGACAGAACCTTTTGTTGAAGGAGAAAGAGCCATTCTTCTAAAGGCTGAGGATGGATGCTGGTAGGCCCGAGGTGCCAACAAAGGCTTCCTGAAGAAGGAGAGACTCAAGCTGGGTCATTAAGGCCACAATCCTGGGTTGAACTCAATGTACCCCACCCCACTCACAACTCTCTACTTACCGCCACTGCCATCTACCAACATGCTGTTTGGCCCCAGAGTTAATTACTGTTTCTCCTGTAATTATGTCTTGTTGCAGGTCCTTCAGATTCTGGCAACTTGAAGAACAATCCAACACAGGCCTTGGTTGAGACAACCACACTCCCTTTGGTCATCTCCATGAATCCACAAAAACCATATCCTATGTCCAGGACTGTGCCCCCACTCAAACCCACTGCCATTATCTCCTCTCCTGGTCTCAGCATCAACTCCACAAATGTGAGGGGTGTCATCAGGTATGGTTTGCAGACCTCTGGGCCCATGGTTGGATAGAGCCCTTTGTTCTCCAGTCTGTGTACTAAGAGCAAGGGACAGTGAATGACAAAGGAAGATGGAGGGCAGGAGCAGACTTGAGCCCAGCTCAGCCAGAGGAAGAAGGAGGTGTAGTGTAAGGAGGAGGTTCTCAGGGAGGCAGCTGCTCTCCCAGCTCACAGCATAGTAATGGACAGAGGGAAATGGCATCCTTGGTGAACTGCAATGGGCATCAGCCACCTTTTCCACCCAATTCTCCCCGAGACCTAATGGTTTAGTGGAAAAAGCACCTTAATTGTGGGGCCCTGGATTCTACTGCCAGGCAGAGTGACTGTGGGCAAGTCTCCAACCCTCTCTGGCTGCAGTTTCCTCATCTGACCTGTAGAAATGCTAGAATACCAGAGCTGCAAGAGAGAATCTAGCCCAATGGCTCTAACTCAGCAATAACTACTAGAAGTACCTGGCGTGTTTGTTTCTTATTTCTTTTGTTAGATTTTTAATATTGATGCATGTGCTCTACCACAGAGCAATAAATCAGAATTTCTAGGAGTGGAACGTGTTCTTCAATGTGTAGGCAGAGTTAACATAGCATGCATATATCCCATTACAACTTATTATAAAGTGTTGATTAATCTTAAAATGTATTTAGCATTAAACATTGAATTAACAAATCAAGAAAATTTCCCCCCTCCCAGGCCCCATTCTTCCATATTTCCACCAATCTAATACATCAGTTTTTCGCCATATTCTCTTCTAGCCTTCATTCACGCTTATACATATTCAAACATAGTTATAATTCTAACTGTAAATAGTTTATTATTCTTTCCTGCTAAAACTATTCATCAATGTTACTACCTAGTCTTTATAACTGTAGTTTTGATAAATGCATATTTTTCCTATCAATTGAAAAAAACATAATTTACATAATCAATTGCCTGTGTTTAGATAGCGAGATTGTTTTCATTTCTTCCGTTTATAATACTGATAACTCTGATTGGTTTTGTTGTTAAGTGCCTTCGAGTTGGTTCCAACTCATAGCGACCCCATATAGGGTTTCCAAGGAGTGCTGGTGGATTTGAACCACCAACCTTGTGATTCACAGTCCAGTGCTGATCTTACAGTGCCACACTTTGATGAGAACATATTTTTGTAAATATTTCTGTTTTAAAATGATTTATTTACAGAAATGTAAGGGAATCTGAACATTTATATGGCTCTGTATTTATATTGCTAAATGACTCTATAAGAGCTAGGTCTTAATTGTTGTGTGATTCATGATGTCTAATGAAGCAATGCCACTGCAGGCTTTGATATTTTAGAAATATGTCTGTTAAAACAGGTATGCATTGGTATGTGCTTCAGTTTCTTTGTTACTAGGGACTGTGAGCCCCAGGGGTATGGAGACAGTGTCTTATTCCTCCCTTACCATGGTTTTATTCAGCCATCTAAGGGCCTGCCACATAGTAGGTGCTTTGGAAATACTTATGGCATGAGTAAAATGTATGGTCTAATGAGAGTGAACATCTTTGTTTACTACTTTTCTTTTCCGATGCGAAAATACAGAGTATGTGACCTTCGCCCCCATTCCTCCTGGAGCCTATAGGAATCTGTACCCATTACCTGGCATCAACTGTATTCTCAGTCAGGATTCAGTCAGGAAAACAGAAGCCACCGCAGTGTTTGAAAAAAGGGATGCTGTTTGGCCAGGTGCTGGACTTGCTTAGAAATCAGCCTGGGCATGAGGAAGAAGCAGGTCCTGAGAGAAAAGTCTTGTGAAAATGTTTCAGGCAGTGTTCTCATGCAAGAAAAGTAGGGAAGTGGGAGTAAAGAGGTAAGGAAACCAAACAAGGGGCCTTATCATGCCAAGTCCTGGGGGTAACTTAGGTTCAGTCGTGCAGGAGAGAACCCTGAGGTTGCCTGGATCAGGATGGGGGAGATGGAGTATTTATCCTCCCACCTTTTCAGCCTTGGAGTGGTGCTGTAGGATAAGCACTGGACCACTAACCACAAAGTTGGTGGTTTAAACCTGCCAGCCACTCCTCGGAAACCCTATAAATGTCGCTATGAGTCAGAATTGACTCAGCGGCTTTGAACAACAACTTCTCAGTCACTGGATAAGAAAGACTCTGGGGGAACTTGAAATTCCCAGGCACCTCAGGTGGCCGGGCAACTGGAGTGCAGCCTCTGTCACAGAGAAGCAGGTACTGGATTTTGGGAGTGGGCACAGCCCAGAATTCCAGGCACAACATTGGTAAGGGTCTGAGATGGCATATGGCCAGGCTCTGACACCAGGAAACTGGGTATGTCCTCTTCCAAAAGCTGATTGCTAGTCCCATCTTCCAAGCACCTCTAGGTGTGTTCAAACTACCAGTCTTTTGACTAGTAATAAAGAATTTAAAATTTTGTGTCAGCCAGTCTCTTGCCTAACCCAGTAGGGGGCCTATTTCTTTAAAGGTTGAATTCTGACACAACACTAGGTCTATTTCTGAGCAATCTGTCTACCCTTGATTCACATTTCTCCTTTTGTACCTAAGTCTTATCATTTAGATGACTTTAGTTTTAATGTGTTTCCAGACTTCTGCATCTAGACCTGCCTCATTTCCCCACTCATTAGTATTTCTTACTTGTGTCTATTGATTTTTTTTTTTTAATTTTTAATTTTTTATTGTGAATTGAGTGAAAATTTACAGGGCAGATCATCAGTTTTACATTGAACAAACCATATACTTTGTTTCATTACAATGATTATAATCTCCACCATGTACCATCAGTATTTCTCTCTATTCATTTTAGCTCTGTTTGTTTGTTTTTTAAACACTCAGGCCTATATAATAATCTACACCATCAAAGGGCACATTCTGCAAGGCTGCCTCCTGCCCATCAGCTCTTATCTCTCTTTCCATGAATCTGGAGTCCTCAGCTGCTCTCTCTTTCCATGTCCCCCTCTCTGCCTCCATCTCTGGTGTTGCTGCTTCTCTGGATAAGGTCCCGCATTCTGCTTGTGCTTGTCTCCCTTGATTAGTCCTAGAGTCCTCTGTTTCTGGACTGTAAGATTAACTATTCCCCTTTTTTTGTTACAAAATTTTACCTTTACAATTGTGACAGTTGCAATTAGTCATGATAACAATTACTAACTATTGAATCTTAAGAATCCTATCCCCATCTCTTTTCACCAGACCCATCTAGACATGATGAAAACTATTCAGTGGGGACTCTATCTTCCCCCACATACTCTTAAATTAAACTTCCTCTTAAAAACCTGTAAGCCAGTCACTTCATGCCTTTATCACTCCCTCATTTAAGTAGCCAGTGTCTAAGTTGCCCATCCCTATCTACCCTGTGTATAGAGAAGATAGCATTCATAGTTGATGTGAAGACTCCTTCCCTCTCTTGTTGGCATTTTGAGCTACTACCTCCATGAGTATAGGTCAAGTTCATCAAATTATAGCAATTTACACTCATTTCCTTTATTAAAAATTGTTTTCTTTTTTATCTTCCTCTGGTAGCGTAGTGGTTACGAATCGGGTTGTGAACTGCAAGGTCAGCAGTTCGAAACTACCAGCCATTCTGCGGGAGAAAGATGAGGCGTTCTGCTCCCGTAAAGATTTACAGCCTCAGAAACCCTGTGCAGGGTCGCTATGAGTCGGAACCGACCCCACGGCACATAACAACAACAACAATCAAGTTCTGATTATCAAGCCATTGAGGCTAGGTCAGATGGGTACTATCTGCAAGTCTGGGTGTTCTTGTGTGTCTCCCCTCCCTTCATATCAGCTGGATGCTTCATTGTCTATTGATTTTTGCAAAGTACCTTTAGAAACAGTTTTCAAGCATCTCAAAAAATTCCAGTCATGAGATTTTGGGCTAGGATTGGACTTTTCTCAATAGAAAGATGAGGTAAGTGTAAGGTCATGGTGCTAAGAAGAGAAACAAGGTTCTGTAGCTCCTCAACCCACACTCGCTTTACAGCATTACAGCAATGTTGAGAGATTAACCTGTCATTTCCTCTCAGTGTCTTCTGGACAAGGACCCTATATCCTCTACTAGATATACTTCTAATCAGCAGTGCTAGGCAATGAGACAGACAAAACGTACAGGACCAGTCAGAATGGAGAAAGTGCTGAAGGATATAAGTAGAGAAGAAAAGGGGCATGAAGAGAGTTTGTAGAGCGAACACTGAAGTGTGAGGCAGCATCCTGGCCAACATTAGCGTTAAATCACCTCTGTTCCATAGGGTCTCCATATTCAGCATTGTTGTTCCCGTGGTGTGTGGAATCCTGGGCAAGAGTCTGGTCTTCAGTATCCTGCTTGTTGTCACACGGAGGTCCACGAACCACTGAGAAGGACTTCAGACTTCCATGAACATACATCTAGAAACTGTGCCAGAAGAGGAGTATGTGTAGATTGGGGATGTGGGTGGAAGTGGGAACAAGGACACACATTTAACCTGTAATGACAGGTTATTTCTAAGACTTAGGATCCCACCTCCCTTTTCCTGCCTGGCTCCTAACTTCACTGTGACTTTGGATGTTTGCTCTGCCCCCTACAAGAGAAGGTGCAACCCAGCCATGCCCGGGTCCTTCATTCCACCAGTTGTTCAGTGTTTGCACTAAATAAAGACAGAGTCCAATGCCTTTCACTGTTACAGTCTTGTGGGAGATCCTGAGGTATTGTAGACACAGCTGATAGTCCTTCCACCGGTACTTTGGCCTGACATGGTCATACAGACACTACAGAAGCATCTTACTCTTCTGACCCCTGGGGCTTCCTTGCAACTAGAATCAGGCACTTGAGTTCCTCCCTTCATCTGTGACTCTCTTGGAATGCAACTCCTAGAAATGGGTGTACTAAACAATGGGATGAGGAGAATATAAGACACCATGGGGTGGGGGGAACCCATATGTTTTGAGAAGAGCAACAGAGTTTCTATGTAATTAACCATCAATAACTCCATAGACAACAGTTCTACTCAGACACACAAAGAGTCTCCATGGTTCAGAATTGACTTGACAACAAGTGGGTTTTAAGGAGTCCATGAGTGGTGCAAACAGTTAGGTGTTCAGCTACTAACTGGAAAGGTTGGCAGTCAAAGCTACCCAGAAGTGCTTTAGAATAAAAGCCTGGATATATAATTCTGAAAAAACATCCACCTACCTGCTCCTATCACAATCATTCCCTATAGCATCCTTTTCTGTTCCTTCAAGATAGGGGTCCAGGCCTGCCCATGTACCTCAATAAATGTCAATCAAGATTTTATATTGCACAGTCCTCTTCTGAGTCTAAAGGAAAGCGACTCCATGGTGAGGAAAGGATGATAAAACCTTACTTTCCAATTCAGCAATACCAGTTGCTCTAGAACATACTCCCACTCCTGGCAGCCCCATCTGTACCACAGTAGAATTTTGCTCCAACCTTTGATTAGCAACTGAGCACATTAATCACGGGTATCATTCATTCATGAACTCCATTTGAGCAATGGCCATGGTCAATGTACTCTAATTTTCCAAGAGTAAACACACAAACCTGTGTGTGAATCATCCCCAAATGGCCCCGCATCTTGTATCATACCTTTAGGAGCTAGAATCGTGAACAGAATCATGTATTTTTTCAATTTTAGGTCAAGCCACATGTCTGCACCATCACTACCATGGAAAAGGGGAGAGGATATATCTGTCTCCATTCTTAATAGAAAGGGAAGCAGGTTCTGAATCAAACTAAGACACACACACTAGGTCATGTGCCCAAAATGGAAATGATGCTTGGTACCAGAGAGCCAAATATGAACATCTAATAAACAACCTCCCAAACTGGATCAGATTAAATGAGATCACTCGTGCCAGGAGGCTGGCACACAGTAGAACTTCAATTTGTGGTAGTAACTTCCACTGTTATTGTAATTGTCCTGGTTTCCATGCCCAGACCTGGACTGGGTGGCTCAGGGAAGCACACATCCAGCATACAGGTAGGATACCTGAAGGATGTCTCTGGACCCACTGGCCTCACCAGAACTTTGAAGGAATGAATTATTGTGGTCACTTATCTCAAAAGCCCTAAGCTTCTTATAAAAATGTAGATTCCTGGGCCTCGTCCCAGTCCTACCAAATCAGAATGTCTTGTGGGGAAGCCTGGATATGTGTCTATTTACCAATCTTCCTGAGCAATTGGGCTGCCTGTCAGTGTTTGAGAACCACCAGTGCAAAGGAAAGCTAAACAAGTCTGCACAGCTGGAAAGCTTGAGCGGGGTGTTACAGAACTCACAGGCATTATTTTAGAGGAGGAAGAGATGGAGGGATGGAACAGTCAGTGACCAGGGATGGCACTGCCTGGGTGACCTGAACGGGAATTGAACCAAAGATGGGAGATCAGGTATGCAGGCATGAAAGGTCCATCCAAGGATGCTAGCCTAGCGATAATAGGGAATGGGCAGCCAGTGAGTGTTTCCCAATAGGACTGTGATGTAAGGAAGACAGGAAGGATGGTTTCACAAGAGCAGTACTCTCTTCTTTGCCTTTTGCATTTCCCTAAGCTACTCCCTCTCACCACATTTCCCTCAGGGGTTCACAGCTGCAAAGTAACAGTGAAGACACTCTGGGAAGACAGTAGACATCTGTGAGGGACCACATCCTCTAAGAGCTCAGAGAGACCCTAGGATGGGCAGCAGCCAGAAGGTCCAGGAGCAGGATAGAATGGAGGGGACAAAACTCTGGAGGTGGCCACATCTGCTGCTGCTCTTGCTACTGCTCTGTGTCTCAGGTAAGGAGACACAGGAAGACTGGTGGAGAAGTCACCAGGCAAAAGGAGGGACAGACAAGGGGAATTTGTTGCCATGAAGTCTGTTCCAATTCATGGTGATCCCATGTGTCTCACAGTAGAACTGCAATCCATAGGATTCTTATAGTTTTGACTTTTCACAATCAGATCACCAGGACTTTCTTCTGAGGTACCTCTGTGTGGGTTTGAATTGTCAGCCTTTCAGTTAGTAGCACAAGGGCTTCACCATTTGTGTCACCCAGGAACTCCCACACGAGGGGAATCTTCTCTCATGACTTCAGGATGACCTGGGTGGGACTAGGTATGTGTTAGAGAAAGGGATGGGAAGAGGTACTGAATGCAGACTGCGAAACAGCAGAGAGTGGGTAATGAAGTAGAAGCTAGGAGTCCCTTGGTGCATCTTGACGATGAGAAAATCATGTAGGGTTATCCAAGCAAACCCCCATCCCTGTGCTGATACCCTAGGAGATGTAAAGAAGAGTCAGATTGTTCCCCCTAAAGGAGCAGAACAGGCAACAGTAACAGACAAGGTAAATAACATGAGAAATAGCAACACTGATGGAAGTCACCATGGTGGGGCACAGAGAGAAATGAGGAGTGGAGGTTTAGGGTTCAGGAATCAGACAGAACTGGATTCAAATCTGCTGCATGTACGTCCTTGAAAAGCTCCTCTCACCCCTCTGAGCTTCTCTGTTCCGTCATTTCTGAAGAAGAACATACATTATGCTGTTGTAGGTTTGAGTGTTTTGTAAACCCATGAAGCCAAATTGGTTGATTATGTTGTTTAGTTCTTGTAGTTTTTCTTCTAGTTGTTTTCACCTTTAGCAAAAGTAGTTTGTTAAAATCTCCTACTAGTAGTGTGGAGTTGTCTATTTCTTTCTTCAATTCTATTTGTTTTTAAGTACAGTTGAGTTGATTCTGACTCATAGCGATCCTATATAGGGTTTTGAGGAACAGCTGGTGAGTTTGACCGACATTGTGGTTCGCAGTACAGTGCTTATCCTACAATGCTACACCAGGAGTCCCGAAAGTTTGATTTATATATTTTGAGGCTCTTTTATTGGGTGCATAGATATTTATTATGATTATGTTCTCTTGTTCAATGAGCCTTAAATCATGATATAGTATACTTCTTTGTCCCTTATGTGGTTTTTTGCCTAAAAGTCTATTTTATCAAAGATTAATATTGCCACTCCTCCTTTTTTATTGCATTTTGATATTTTTTTTCATTCTTTGATTTTTAGTCTATTTTTGTCTTTGCTTCTATGATGTGTCTCTCGTAGGCAGCATATTGAAGGATCCTGTTCTCGTATTCCCTTTAACTCTCTGTCTCTTGACTGGTGGATTTACACTCAGCGTAATAATTATTGACAAGTATGAATTAATTGTCATTTCCTGTGTGATTATTTGTGATGCAGCTGATTTCTTTATTCCATTTAATTTTCTGCTTTGCGTTCGTTTTGTTTGTGGGTTTCTTTTTATTTTCTTCATTGCTTTTGTTTTAATGCTTACTAAATCCTTCTGCTTTTCCTATTTTTTTCATTTTGATATGAAGATGTAATAATTTTCTTTTAGGTTACCCTGTAATTTGCTAATTTCTTCCTCAGTTTAAAACACTCTATTTGAAATTTAGTTAACGTCCTCATCTTTTGAAACTTCTTGTGGAAGTATTTACACAATCTCACCTTTTTACTTTGTAGTTGTCTTCTTTATAAATTGAGGTCTCTGTTCCCTATTTTCAGTTCCTTATTTCACTTAAGGAGCTCTGGTAGCTCAGTGATTACGAATTGGACTGCTAACCTCAGGGTCAGCAGTTCGAAACTACCAGCTGTTCCGTGGGAGAAAGATGAGGCTTTTTGCTCCCATAAAGATTTACAGCCTCGGAAACCCTGTACAGGGTTGCTATGAATCAGAACTGACTCCACGTTAACAACTACAACATTTCACTTTAAATACTTCTATATCAGAATTGAATTTTGGGTGGTGTTGCCTTGTTTGTTCATCTCACATTGTTGTGTGATGTTATTGCTTCTCAATCCAAAGAACACCATTTAGTACTTTTTATAATGTTGATCTGGTTGTTACAAATTCCTATTTCTATTTGTCTGCAAATGTCCTTATTTCACCATTGTATTTGAGGCACAGCTTTGCTGGGTATGTGATTGTTGTTTGACAATATTTTTCTTCAGAGTTTTGTCTGTTTCATGCCACTGTCTTCTTGCCTGCATGGTTTCTGCTGAGAAATCAGATCTTAGTCTTATAGGTTCTCCTTTATGGGTAACCTTTCATTTTTCCTGAGTTGTTCCCAGGAGTCTTTCCTTGTCTTTGATTTTGGCAAATTTGATTATGGTACATTTTGTTGTTTGTGTTTTTTTCTTTTCTTTTGGGGTTTATCTTGTTTGATATTCTTTTTCTTCTAGAACATGTGTCTTCTCACCGTTCATGATGTTAGATAAGTCTTCTTCCAACAGTTCTTCAATAATTTTCTCTGAGGATTTTCTTGTCTCTTCCTGTTATGGAATTTCAATCACCTGTAAGTTATCCTTTTCATGGTATCCATTTAATCTTAGGCTTTCCTCAGATTTTTTCCTTCTTTTCTCTGATTGTTCTTCTAGTTTACTAATATTGAGACATTTATCTTCAAGCTCACTAATTTGGTCTTCCATAGATTCAAATCTACTCCTTTGCCCTTTCAATATATTGTCTATTTCTGAAATCTTAGAATTAATCTTATACATGTTTTGTATTGTTTCAAAAATTTCATTTGTTTTGTCTGTTTGTTCTTGTAATGTTTTCCTGATTTCATCTATAATTTTTTGTGTGTGTGCTCTCCATGCTTTTCTTGATCTTTCTCTCAATCACTGAAAGGACCTAAATATCACCCTTCTAATTTCTTTCTCAGGTATTTCCAGTACCTTTTCTTCCTCAAAAAATATTTACTGGCTCTACAGTTTGGGTATTTGTTTGAGCATTCTCTCTTATTTCTTCATATGAACTGAAGTTTTCTGTTGTCTCCAAGACACTGTGGTATTGTTGTGCATGTACTTAGTTGATGATCGTATGTTGGTGTATCTTAGGTTCTCTCACCAACTACCTCCTGGTAGGTTATTATTAGAGAAGAGGTGTGTTTGCCCTGTTCTTCATTTGCCATTCATGCAGTTCAGTTTAGGATGGACTTGGCTGGTGTTGGCTGCTAATCAGTTGGTATAGGAGCTGATATTAACTAGGGTACAGTTGTGTTTGGGCTGTGTGGGCATGGATTCTGTCTCTTTTCAGGTGAGGCAATAAGAGAAAACATATACACATACACAAGAAAATAACAAACAAGCAAATAGTAGTGGAAAAGGAAAATAAAACAGGAGAATTTTAAAAAGGAATATCCAAGAAAAGAAAAGTGGGACAGTAAAAGAACAGAAAAATGAGGTGGAGGGGGGGAAAACATTAGATAAAACCAGGGAGAGGGAAAATGAAATTAAACAAGGCTAGAAAGTAGCAAAGAAAGATCCAGAGAGATGGGGGAAAAAGGATGAAGAAGTGGGAAAAGAGAAATAGAAGAAAGAACAAAATCAAAGGTAGAAAATATAAAATGAAGGGAAGGGAGAGAGAAGGTAAAGAAAAAGAAAGAGTAAACAAAGAAAAAACAGCAAAAAGAGGGGGGGGAAACCCAAACAAACCAGTGCAGGTACTGAACCCAGAGAAAAGAAAACACTGGGGGATGCTCCTGCTAACCAGAGGGCTCATGAGGTGGTTGGAGGAGGGATGTGATGCTAACATTTCTAGCCCTAAATGTAATTCCTTTAGCTCCAGGCATTGTCCATATGGACCAAAGGGTGACCAGGGGCTAGGTCAGTTCAAGGCTGATCAAATGGCTCTGTGGACAGAACCCACTCAAATCCAGGTACCAAGCTGACACCATCAGTGCCCACCTCACTCTGTGAACTCCTGGACAGCAAAAGTCTACACTGGGAGTGGATGAGTTTAGGGGGACTTGGGGAACAAGAAAGAAGCACATATGTCCAGTTGTCAGTCCACAGCATGACTCTGCACTGCCATGCCACAGTCTCTGGAGCTGCCAGAAAAAGGTCACAATGACAGCACTGCATCTGTCTCCCTCCTCAGCCACCTCTGCTCAGCCTCTCCTCCCAGGATGTGTTCAGTCCACTTATCCAACCTTTCCTCTGAAGCTCAGGGTTCTAGAATAATTCTCATCATGTGGTCTCCCTATCTTTGTTGCAGAGCGTCTGAATAGCCTATCTGCCTGTTCTGCCGTCTTCTTGATTATTAGTCTGTTTCATCATTTCTAAAGTAGACTGATAGAAAGTTATTGACTCAGTTATCTAGCACATAGTAAGTGCTCAGTAAAAGTCAAAGGTGGATGGTGGTGATGGCAGTGATGTAACTGGGTATACAGTGGTCAGTGGCATTGTGAAGAAAGAATAGAAAGAGACTCGTACCCACTGGAACTCTTCAGGTGACTCCCCTCTGGGGCTGAATGTCATGAGAATGGGTAGGCAGAGTGGGAAGAACATTCAACTTTATATATATATTGTTGTTGTTGTGATGTGCCTTGGAGTCGGTTCCAACTCATAGCGACCCTGTACAGGGTTTCCGAGGCTATAAATCTTTACGGGAGCAGAAAGCCTCATCTTTCTCCCGCAGAACAGCTGGTAGTTTCGAACTGCTGACCTTAAGGTTCGCAGCCTGATTCGTAACCATTACGCTATCAGAGCGCTCTCTCTCTCTCTCTCTCTCTCTATATATATATATATGCTTATATACATATAAATGCATATATAAATGCTTATGTACATGTTAATGTTTGTTGTTGTAGTTGTTAAGTGCCGTCGAGTAGTTTCTGACCCATAGTGACCCTGTACAGGGTTTCCGAGGCTATACATCTTTACAGGAGCAGAAAGCTTCATCTTTCTCCCGCAGAACGGCTGGTAGTTTTGAACTGCTGACCTTGTGGTTCGCAGTCCGATTTGTAACCACTACACTACCAGAGCTCCTTATATACATATAAATGCTTATGTACATATAAATACATATATATATTTGTGTAACAGGAGTTAATACAAAAGACAGTGCTCAAAAAAGCAATCAGCTTCTCTGGGGCACCACACAGAAGAATAGAGTAGAAAATGGGTACTGAAATTGAAGAGGTTCTTTTTAAATTTTGTATCATCTAAACTTTCTAACTTACAAAAATACAGAAAGAATGTTATTTGTTGTTATGTGCCATGAAGTCGCTTCCTACTCATAGAGACCCTGAACAGGGTTTCTGAGGCTGTAAATCTTTATGGGAGCAGAAAGCCTCAGCTTTCTCCTGCAGAACAACTGGTAGTTTTGAACTGGTGACCCTGAGGTTAGCAGCCCGATTAGTAACCACTCCCTATAAATTCATCTCCAAGATTTAAACAAGATTAATATTTTGACTTATTTGCTTCATATATGTTTGTGTACTTTGTATATATCGTCATTGTTTTTAAGTGCCGTCAATTCGATTCCGAACCATAGCGAAGCTGTATATATAGGGTTTCCAAGGAGCGGCTGGTGAGCTTGAACCACCGCCCTTGCAGTTCAAACGACTTTGCAGTCTGACACATTAGCCCACAGCGCCACACCACAACTCTACTTTATATATATATGATTATTTCAGAATATGATTATTCTGAAATGGTTCAAAATATAAGTCAAGTGAGTAAAGGTTGGGAGGTCGGAGGAAAGGGAGCAGGAAGAAGGATGTAGACATTTCTTTCAAAATAATTTAAGAAATCCTAGCTTTCTCCTAGATGTTTGATGATGCTATTATTCCTCTAGCCTGTGGGCTTGTGGCTGCAGGTGCAGAGGTGATCACTGACTCCACCTTGAATCCTCATTCTAGGGTCCCACGCAATAGACGTGAGGGAGGAGCAAGCATGCCTGATAGAAGGAAACAACCTAACCGTGGTCTGTCCGTATAACATCATGAAATATGCCTCCAGCCCGAAGGCCTGGCAGCGGGTGAGAAGTCAGGGTCTCCCTGAGACGCTGGTGCGCACAGAAACCAAAAACATAGAGGTAAAACGAGTCCAGGCTGGAAGGTACTTGCTGGAGGATGTTCCCGAAGACGCCATCATGAAGGTCACCGTGACAGGACTCCAGAGGCAGGACGAGGGGCTGTACCAGTGTGTGGTCAACATCTCTCCTCAGGACCTTATCATCCTGTACACTCGAATTCGTCTGGTTCACTGCAGTGGTGAGCAGCAGGGAACCCTGTCCTGGGAAGGGGCTTGCTGAGCAGGTCTTCAAAGCCAACAGTGGGCCACTTTATATATCTAGAAACCAGTTGCATATATATATATATAGTTGTTGTTGTTAAGTGCCATAGTGTAACCCAGTATAGGGTCTCCAAGGGACGGCTTGGGAGCTTGAACCAATGGCCTTATGGTTCAAACCGACTTTGCAGTCCAGTGCATTAACACAGAGCTCCATGATATCACATGTATATGAACCCTGGAGGCACAGTGCTTTTAGCATTGAACTGGTAACAGAAAGGTCAGAAGACAAAAAGGTTGATGATTCGAACCCACCAGTGGCTGCACCAGAGAAAGATGACGCAGTCTGCTTTCATAAAGACCACAGTCTCTGAAACAAACCTTAGGGAGCAGTTCAGCTCTACTCTGTTGTAGCGGGTCACTATGAGTCAGAATTCTCTTCACAGCAGTGGACTGGGCTTTATGGAAGGGAGGGGGATTTGAAAAGCTTATGGAAAATCAAATGAAAAGATAATGAAATATGTCTGCAAACTTTTAAAAGTCCCCTTATGTACACACACACAGAAGGCTAAGGCAAAATGTCTTGCTACTAGAGTCCCAGTTCATACATGTGAGGTTTATTCCAAACAAAATGTGATCTAACGTGTGTTTTCAATCAGTGGATGGCTACAGACAAGCTCTTTCAAGTGATACACGTGCCTTAGTCTCATAGAGTGCCTTCTGAAAATGGTCCAATCAAAACAGTGGTTTCTGAGGCGATTTGCTTGAGCCAGTTAAGTTCAAGACAGAGACGTCAGATGGTTGTAGTGACTACTGACTATTCTGGGGTACTTCAAAAGGGTACTATGGATAGATTTTCTTGAAAGACACAGGGTCCTTATTATGAAGAAGTTTTAAGAAAATTAAAGACTGCATTGGTGAGAAAAAGCCCACGAGATTTGCAGTAAGGAATTTCCCCCCATACAACAGTGTACCTGCTCATTGACTGTCCAATGAAAATTTCGCTGGGAAATATCACCCTATCCACCCTAGATCCATGATCTTGCTACTTCAGAGTTCTTTTTGTTCCTCAAACTGAAAGAATATTGAAAAGAAACATGATTTGAGCCTTTTGAGGATGCCAAATCTGCCATTTTGGTATGCTGTAAATCAGTGTCTAGACTTATTCGCTGAAGAGTCATCGTTAGATGATGTCGAGTTGGTTCCAACTCTTAGTGACACTATGACCAACAGAACAAAACATTACCTGATCCTGTGCCAGTCTCACAGTTGTTAGAGTTGAGAGTCCATTGTTGCTGTTGTTACGTCAGTTCATCTCATCTGGGGTCTTCCTATTTCTTTTGCTGACCCTCCACTTTACCAAACATGATGGCCTTCTTCAGGGACTGGTCCCTCTGATAACATGTCCAAAGAACAAGAGACCAAGTCTCACTCACCATCCTTGCTTCCAATGAAGTACTCTGGCTGTACTTTTTCTAAGATACATTTGTTTGTTCTTTTGGCATTCAAAGGTACTTTCAATATTCTTCACCAACACCATAATTCAAATGCATTGATTCTTTTATGATCATCCTTATTCATTATTCAACTTTCACATGTATATGAGGTGATTGAAAATGTCATAGCTTGGCTCAGGTGCACCTTAGTCCTCAAACTGACATCTTTGCTCTTTAAGACTTTTAACACTTTTGCAGCAGATTTGCCTGGTGCAATATATAAATCATTTGATTTCTTGACTGCTGTTTCTGTGAGTATTGATTGTGGATCCAAGCAAAATGAAGTCTTCGACAACTTCAATCTTTTATTTATTGGTCCAGTTTTGAGGATTTTCAATCCATTCTGAAGGTTGTAGTTTTGGATGTTCATCAGTAAGTATTTCAGTACTACAGACTGCCAGAAGAACAAACAAACCTGTCCTATAGGGTCACTAAGCATCAGAATCAACTCATGGCAACGGATGCTTTTATTTATTTAAATGGGGAAAGGTCAGGTTTGAAGATCGTAGGAAAGGAAGAGGCCTCATCTTCAAAGGGTATGACACTCCTCTTGGATGCTCCAGTGGCCAGGAGACAGGGAGCAGCTGGGCTTCATGGTAGAATGTGCAGCAGAAATCCACCCTTTGGGAGCCAGTAGAGTCAGACCTGGGAAGCCACTGTTTACCCTTGACTTTACAGATCTGGCAATGCTGGCTTCATCTTGAAAAAAGCTTGATGTTTTCAGTCTTGTTTATCCTTCTCTGCAAAGCCCAGGTCTTAGGTGAGTGGGGCCCAGAGGCAGTCTTGAGATAGAATGGACAGTGGCTTCTAAGCCTGGCTTAGAGGGAATATTTCCTAAGGGTGCCCCCGAATCTGTTCTCCAACTTATCCTCACTTCTGTTCTGGCAGGGTCTTTGAACAGAGGCAGGCTCAACCCCTGGGACAGGGTAAGCGTAGGCAAGGGAGCTATGAATGATGTGTGTTAAAACAAAACTCCTACTAAGCCAATAATAGAACTGGATTGAGGTTTATATAATGCACACTTTGCAAAGTGGGATAACAATCTACTAAGGAGTTCAGAAAGGTTTAAAAGACTGAAGACCTTCCAAAGATTCTCATACCCCTCATGGTATCCATGATGCTATGGAAGCGGGATCAGAACCTGTTTATATAATAGCAATTTGCCCTAAAACACTTCTGCTAGTCTGACTTTGGCATTTCAGCTTCTAGACACTGCCTGCAGGTAGAGAATTCTTTTAAAAAGCCCAATGCCCAAGGCCAAATACTATTTACTAAGCTATTTACCCGTGTTGTTTCACTGTAAGGTGACTTTGTTGTTGTTACTGTTGTGTACCAGTGAGTCATTTCCGACTCACAGTGACCCTATATTAGGTTTCTGAGGCTTTAAATCTCTACCGGAGCAGAAAACCTCATCCTTCTCCCTCGGAGAAGCTGGTGGATTTTAACTGCCAATCATGCGGCTAACCACCCAATGCACAGCATACTTTGGGACACTAATTTTATCAAAACTTAAGGTTCAAAAGGAGATCTCAGAATAATGGCCTGGGTGAGCCACCCCAGAACCCCTAGAACTCTGAATTATCAGGGAATTAAACATCAAGGATGGATCTAGAGGTAGGGAGGGACAGGGTGAGGTTTTTACTGATTCTCAGTCCAGGTTTTTCTTCAGAAGAGGGTGCATAGAAGCAAGCCTGGGCTGAATTGGACCATTTTCAAATATTGTGCATTTCAATTTCTCTCTCTCAGGTAAGCATCCTCCTAACATGTCCCCAGCACAAGGCCAAGTCTGAGAAGCAGCAGCGTCATTCTTCCAGGATCTGTTGGGCATGCCTTCCTCCCTGTTCCTGGCTGAATTGTGTCCACCAAAAATATGTGTTATCAATCCTAACCCCTGTATCTGTGGATCTAACAGGTATATCCCCTAAACACCAAACAAGGTAGACAAGCCCGCAAAGGTATTGCTTCACTAAGTGTCTGCAGTCTGCAAATCATTTATAGTTTGGAGAATTGAGTTGAAATAAAACCATTTTTTTAAAAAAATAAAAAGACATGTGCAAGAATACATTCATCTCAGAGTTGTTAGTGCGGTCAAGTCTCTTCTGACTCATAGTGACCCTGTGTAGGGTTTCCAAGGAAAAGCTGGTGAGTTTGAACCACCAACCTTGTGGTTTAAAGCGGGCTTGCGTTCCAGTGCTTATCCTACAGTGCCACACCAGGACTCCATTTCAGAGTTAGCAATCCTATAAATAAAAAGAAATGAAATTAAACCTGAGCACAGTCTTAGTGCCTAAAAATAAGGAAATGATTTGTAAATCATAACTTTCCATTGATAGAAAAGTATGCATTCCTTGAAACTACAGTAAAACTTACAAGAGTCAGGAGCTGTGTATGGCAGAAATCCATGAGAAAAAGAAGACTCAAGTATTTCCCACTAATAGAGAGTGATTTCCCACTAATAGGGGGTTGGTGCTGTAGGACCAGCACTGGCTTGTGAACCACAAGGTCAGCATTGCAAATCCACCAGCTGCTCCTCGAACCCCTATACAGGGTCGTTGTGAGTGAAGGCATTAACAACAACAATAGCAATAGAAAAGTGGCGAGACTGCACCCTCTCAAAGGCAGAAAACTTGAAGACCTAGAAAAACAAGACAGTCCCATTTATCCCAGATTTCACTGTACTGGTTTGAAATCTATGGAGCAACATCAAAGGTAGTTCTAGCACTGCTCTAGAAAGGTATCACATTAAAAGCTTTTGTACCGAGCGTGAGAAAATGTGGAACAAAGCTCAAAATCAGAAAAAAAGACCAGACTAACTGGTCAGACAGATTGGTGGAACCCCAAGACAATGGACCCTGATCACCCTTCAGGTCTGAAACTGAACGCCCCCTTGTGGCTCAATTTTCAGCCAAGCAAAGATAGACACATAGGGGGAGCAACACTCGTGGGGTACACACACCATAGAGTGATCAACCATTTGAGATCAAAAGAGCATTTATCCAAAGACAAAGTTCAGAAGGGTTGGGAAACAAGGACACATGAAAACAAGAAACACAGGAAGGAAGGAAGGTAAGTGATGTTACCCCGAAGGGATTGCAATCATTGAGATGGAACCAAGTATGTGATTTGCTGAAAGTAAAACATGATCTGCTCTGTAAGCAGCCTTCACTCCATTCACAATAAAAGGTTGTGTGTGTTTTTTAATAGTTTTAGCAGGAAAGAATAATAAAAGAAAATATTTGTAATTAGAATTATAAACCAAATCCACTGCCAGTGAGTGGATTCCAACTCATAGCAACCCTGTTTAGTGGTGGTGGTGGTGATTGTGGGCCATGGAGTCAGTTCTGACTTATAACTACCCTGCATAGAGTTTCTAAGGCTGTAAATCTTTATAGGAACAGAAAGCCCCATCTTTCTCCTATAGAATAGCTGGAAGTTTTGAATTGCTGACCTTGAGGTTAACAACCTGTCTTGTAACCAGAGCAAGCCTGTATAGAGTTTCCAAAGCTGTGAATCTTTGTAGGAGTAG